GAAGGGTAGGGGAAGGGGAATAAGGGAAAGGGAAAAATATGAGAAAATGTAAAAATGGAATTAAAGTGTTTGAAGGTGGGGGGGATGAGGGGGTGAAGGGAGGGTGGGGACAAGGGGAAAAAATGAGAACCAAGACCTGCCATGTAAAGGTACAGCATCCCAGTAATGAATGTAACTGTACTGTCTACATAGAATGTACCAATAAATTCAATTTAAATTAAAAAAAAAAAAGAAATTACAGATAAATTTGTGGATTTGGAGGTCATTGAAATTCAACTACTTACCAGCAGAGGGTGCTACTGATCCATATTTCCACAGGGTATAAAGCGAAGCTGAACTAAAGGACATATTTTGAAAGTATACTTGATATTTTACAAATCTACATTGCATGAGGTGATCATTGTTTTCCATTTGTCTTGGATTTATGTATTTGTGCATTTGTCGTGGGTTTGCATTGTATTTTTAAAACTCAGACTGGTATAAGCACTATTTTTAAGCTTAAGTTTGACTATTTGAAATGCCTTATCAGTTCTTATAGAACTTTTTTTTTTCCTTGCAGTACTGGGGATTACTTTCAGGACCTTCACAGTGAGCTATATCCCCAGCCCCCTTCCTCCTTTTAAAAAAAGTTTTGAGATGGGATCTTCCTAAATTTTCCAGACTGGGCTTGAACATAACAGTCCTAAGGCTCCAGCCTCCCAAAGTGGTGGGGTTATAAGCATGCACCACTTTCTTTAGACAGCTGCATCATATCCCAATGTGTATATGAGCTGTAATTTACATAACCGCTAACTTCCTAGAGAAAACTAGGCAACCACCGGCAAAATGATGAAGAAAGGGTCCCATCTCTCTTTCGTTTGTTTGTCTTTGGTACTGGGGATCGAACTCAGGACCTCACACTTGCGAAACAGGTGGTGGAACCACTGAGCTAAATCCTCAGCCCTAGGGTCCCATCTCTCTTGCTTCCCAAATAAATCCCAAAGTGCACAGAATCTTAACAACACTAGAAAAAACAGGAAAGAATGTTTTTGGTCAGAAGAATCTTTCTAAGCCTGACATAAATTCTTAAACCACAGGAGAGAATACGGACATTTAACTATATTTTTAATAAAACAGTACTTCAAAAAAACATAAATAAAAGTTACACGATGTATTGTAAAAATGCATTTGTAAAACACATATTGCAAAGAACATGTCACATACAGAAAACGTTCATAAACTGATCAAATTAGTTTCACTGGAAATAGACCAAAGAATACAATTAGAAGTAGAAATGCAAATGCGCTTAAAAATATGAGACCAAAACGACCAGAGGAGAAATACAAATTAAATGACGACACGCCGTATTTCACCTGTCAGATTGGCAAAGAGCAACACATTGTTCTCGGGAGGGTGTGGGGAGCCCGGTTGGCTTCAGACTGCTGTGAGATTAAACTGGTATGAGCTCTGTGGAAACAGATTTGGCAATTGCTATCAACATCTTAGAATGAAAACTTGTGGGCATTTTCTTTTCTTTTAGTCAACTCTCCTGATCTGAATTACCTGCATGTGCTTAACCAGAGGAAAACTACACAGAGTTTAAAAACACAGAGACGTGGTGGGGACGTAGCTCAGTGGTAGGGCACTTGCCTAGGGTGTTCAAGGCCCTGGGTTCAATCCCCAGCACCGCAGTGGATAAATTAAATAAATGAAGAGGAGATATTAAAAATTCCATGAAGTCAGCACATCCTTTGTGTAATGTGGATGACAACTGCGTCAGAGTTGTGACAACGAGAAAAATCTCAGAGTACCTGGGTCAGCCTTTAATCCGGGAAAGTATAGGCAGGATTGAGGGGAATCACAGGAGAAACTGTGCGGCTGGCATGGTGGCTTTAGAAGGCAGTGCTATCCCCAGGGGGGCACAGGGTCAGACCAGGTGAGGACTGTCACTCTAGGAAAGGACCACCCACCAGGAACTGGAGAAGCAGGGACTCCGGTCAGACCACACAGGGTGGAACCAGGAAAATTCCCTAAGTTCTTTTCCCTCCTGTCCATTTGCCTCTGCTGGTGCCTTGGAGTCAGGGCAGAGGGCAGGGCTGGGGGGACGCCATCCACAGACAGAGACACCGAGCCAGGGTGGGTGGATCTTGCTCTGTGTTCTCTGTGTAGATCTGGAAGGGTAAGGGATGATTTTTATTCAGTAAGAGAGTAGATCTCGGTAAAATGCTCAGGGCCTTTTTTCATTCGCATCCCTTTCATATATACGGCATATCTAGTCAGTGTTTCTCTGAAAGCCTTACCCTTGCTTTTCTCCTTTTCAGAATGGGACCCGTAGGTCACTGAGATTCCCAATACCTTTCTTTTTGGGTCAATAACTTTATGAAAATTGGCTTCCTGAAAACATTGCACTTGTTAGTTAAGACAGTGATACTTAGACCATAAACACATTAAAGAGTACATTATAATAATAATAATATATAATAACAATAAGAGTACACTTAGAGGTGCATTTTTCATGGAGTGCATTTTGGGAAAAAATACAAATGTTTGACTCTGTGTGTCCCGGAGGAGAATGACTGTACAATGTCTGTGTCTATCCTTCCATCCTTTCTTCTAACAGCGCCTCTCAACTGCGCCTTCTTCTTCCATCTCTCCTTGGCTCGCAGAATGATGCCCTTGGATCAGCCAGAGATTTATCCTGGAGATCCCTACGTAAACTGGAAGCACTGTTTTGATAGTCTGACTCTGAAGATTGTGTTCGAGAGAAGGGTGCGTGCATTTTAAAGTAGATTTTTAAAAACCTATTTTTCAGACAAGATTTAATTTCTCTGAAATGCCATTTTGCAGAGTGGGATTAGAATCCTTAAAAATTCTCTGATTGTAACTATTCAGCTGCTTTCAGGTCTAGAAATACCAGTAGTCCTGTCTGCTCAATGTGTCCCAAAGGGAAATGTCACGGTAAGCAAGTAACTACACTGTTACCAACTCACCTACCTTGTAGTGGTTCACGAACC